CAAGAACTCTCCAATCTCCTTTGCTATCTCCCATGAACCTGTCATGGTGAAAGAAATCCTTCAGCAGTTCTGGCTTACTGCTAAAGTGGTGCAAGAGACTAACAAGACTAGTAAACCGATGGAGAAAATCTCCTTCACCTTTAACAGGATGATTGTCAGTTTTGGCATAGCCACATTGAGGACCTCTCTCCATCTACCAAAGGGTCCCTATGCCAGTGAACCTTCCACTAAAGATATCATCTCCTGCTTGGATGATATAGGCTATGTCTGGCCAATAAAGAAGGACTCCATCGATCCCCTCAAGTCGCTATCAAAGATTGAGAAGAACTGCATGTCAGCGGTATGGAAATATTTGTTTTCCCATTTCATTCAGTGTATGGGAGGCAAAACTGGTGGACAAGATCAAACGTCCAGAGTTGCGTTGAATATTGGCATTTCCATCATTTGACAAAGGCCAATAAACTTTGCTGGCGTGATCTTTGAAGACCTGGTGCTGAAGCTGAACAAGCGCCAAAGGGAAAAGTGGTACCTTACACCAGATTTTTATCTATGGTGTTTGCTAAGATCTTTAGCAACAAGTACTCCACGGAAAGCAACCTGCCAATCTGCAAGTTTGGATCCAGAATCTTGGATCATAAGCTGAAATCTAAAGATGTTGCTATTTCCACCCTTCTAACGGTGCCTGTATATCCTTCTTCTTCATCTTCTCCAACTGTGTCGGTATGTCCTTCTTCCCTTGCTCCTGTGGTCAAGACTAAGGCAAACCCCCAAAAGTCTATCCCAACCACCATCACTCTCTCTTCTAAAAGTTCCTCGTCTCAAACCACTCTTGGTTCTCCATCGAGGGCCAAGAAAGCCAAAAAGGGGATAACCACATCTCTGGCTGTTACCTCTCAAAAGGTTCCAATCATTGAAACCAGCCTTACCCCCGAGGCAACTTCAGCTTTATCTCCTCCAAGCTCTTCAGTGATTTCTTCAGTCACTATCGTACATATGGCTCCTATCTCAACCACCTCAGTGACCCAAATCACTGAAGGTGTGAATACCATCATAGCCACTGCTGAACACCTACTTCCACCACTCTCAGCCATCTTTTCCTCTCCTCTTTCTTTGGTCTCGACACATGCTAGTGATTCATCAGTGATTGTCCTTGCTGATGATGAAACAATCACCACAGGACCTGAGGTTGATCATCTCGAAACACCTCAGTTAATGGAAGCATATCCTCTCGAAGGCAACCTGGAGAGAACCAACATCAATCCTTCAGATGGTGCTAATGACCCCTCAGGTAATCTTCCAACCAACCCCTTTATTTTTTCTAACCCCAAGCTATCTTATTCTCAACCATCTTCTTTTTAAAGTCCTTGCAATGAAGGAACACCAGCCATGGAAGAACATTACAACATGGCTGATGATCCTGCCAGTAGAAACTGTCTTTAATCAAAATGGACCAAGTTCATAAAGATATGCCTCTCAGGGATGATCTTTCCTCTGACCTCTTAGTTGTCAAAGCTGACGTCAATGCCGTGAAGAAATGACTTTTTGTGGTGCAAGTCAATGTACGCACCAACGCTGAGGCTATCTATGCTTTCAACAGCAAATCTGATGAAGCGAATGCTCAACTTACCAAGCATGGTGAGATGTTGCAACAGATACTCGATCTTCTCCAACGTCTAGTGCCAGTTCTTACACCCTCCTTCACAGCTATGGATCGTCTATCGCTGGATCAGGCTCTCGAAGTCGGTCTTCTTCAAGATCGATCTATGACCATGCTTGAACAGTGAATGGACATTATATCCCTAAGTCTTGGTAATATCTTCTCTCGTCATGCTGATGACAAAGAGGGGGAGGAAGACTTGGTTGTTGTTGCTGCTGCTACTGTCCCTATAACACCAGCTGAAGCTAGTGCTCAAAGAGTTGAAACTAATAAAGCTGAGGTTTTTGATGATGCCATCACTTCCCATGAAGCTGAGGTTGTTGATGATACCGTCAGAGCTGATGCTGAAGCTTAAGACGATACCTTCCTATCACCCCTGCAACTAATGCTGGTGATGAGGAAGATGAAGGTGAAGATGATGATGATGAAGATGACGATGACTCTCCATCCCTTATTGACGATGGAAAAGATCTCGATAATGATGATGATGAAGACGACGATGACGACAACTTCACCATTCAATACGCTCTGAAAGGAGTCTCTCGCAGGGATTCATCATCCTAAGGGGAGAAAGAGAAAGAAAATGAGAAAGAGACTTCCACAAAGAACCGGAACACCTCATCCAAAGAAAAAGGTGTTTTTGAAGAAGGAAATCTGAAAGTTCTCTTCAAACATGTTGTTCCTCAAAAATATACTGAACCCTCCAGGTTTGCAATCATCACTTCCTTATTTCAACTCTCTTCTTCTATCCCTTCTACTACTTGTGGTCGTCTAGAGGAATGGGTACATGAAAACCCAACTTCTAGTGTCCCTAGCAACAATCAGATGACTCAGCTTAAGGAGCCACTTGACCAAACTAGAGTAAAAAATTCCTCTTCGTATCTCTAGTTGTGGTGAGTTTGAATTTCTTACTGAAGCTAAAAGACTCGAAGCACTCAAGGCTGAGGAATAACTCTGAATTCAACGACAACAGACTGAGGACAGCCTCAAGTTGGCCAAATCTCTTGCTACTCAAGTTCTTCCAAAGAAAATGTCTAAAAAGATGGTGAACGTTGTCAAGGCCCAAGCTAAATTGCTTTTAATTGCAAAAGCTGAACGTCAAAAAGCAATGAAGCTAAATGACCGAGACAAAAAAATGGAGCGAAGATCGTTTAAATAAGAGAATAAGTCCTCATCACATCTCAAGCATCACAATCAATGGATGAATGAAAGATGGTGGACTGCTCATCTCTAAAGACAACCTTGAAGTTGTTACTGAGTATCCTTCCTACCTTGGTCAATACAGCTACAGTGAATGGCTAGAAATCCGCTAAGCCATTCAGCGCTCAAAGTCAAGGCACAAGCCAATAATTGAAGACATCCTCAGCGAGCTGATCAAGAAGATGTCAAAATTTGTTGTTGTACCTACAAATCCGATATTGAAGAAGGTGGAAGAAGAAAACCTTCAGATCCTAATGATAGACCAACTCTGAGGTCTGAACATGAAACAAAGTTCTGCCTGAAGGAAGTCCTGAAGGATTCGAAGAAGCCAGACATCTCTATGTTGAACCTCTCTTTGCCAGCGAAGGGTCCTTACATACCCAACACTATGCATCTAAAGCCTGAGTTTGGATTCATATTCCTTGACTATGAAGGCGAACACAGCTTTCAAAGAGTGCCTGAGCTCCTTCTCTGTCCTATAGAACATTTTGATTTTCTAAAATATTGGTTGGACAATGACATTTTTGGTGAGATGATAGACCGCAAGATCAGAAAAGAATTTCTACATCGAAAGATTCTCGAAGAAGAAGTACCTGGTTACATCGACTTCAGCGACTTAGATTAGTTAGAATTTTCTGTCTTGTAAATCTTATCTTTCATTGTAAATCTTATTTTTCTGTCTTTTCTTTCAGTGTACAACTTATATGTAATAAGTCTATAATATATTGATTATAACACTTGTAATTCTCCTTTTGATTAATATAAGTATTTCATCAGTATCACTTAAAAAGATCGCTGAAAAGAGTAATAGGGACACATGTCTATGAGTTCTAGTATGCTTTTACAGTCACTGACAATCTTCAGTCAGTAAACATGCTTTCAGTTTTAGTTTCCTTTCTTATACTTTTTCTTAAACTTGTAACTTAAGAAAACTTATATAGTAAAAACGGTATCAGTGAAAAATATCCCAAAATAGTTAAAATGGACATGTACTTTATGTGTAACTTTTCCTTACTATTAAATCTTAAGCCAATTTTCTTTATGTTGCTTTGTCATCATCAAATAGGAGGAGATTGTTGATTCTCTCTCTCATTGATTTGATGATAATCACTTTTACCTTTCGAAGTATTATGTTTCTGCCTTTTCAGTTCCAACGATCATCACTGAGTCTATTCAATGATCGTTGAAACATGTATTGTAATCCTACAACAACAACGATACTTCAAGAAGACAAAACTCACACCCAAGAACCTTCAGTGAATGCCGAAGATTGAAACTGAAGAATAGTGATTGGTGCATTCATGATCTAAAGTGGCATTCAGTTATTACAACCTGGTCAACATACGTGTGAAATCTGCACAAGCCTTAGTGAATGCTAAAAAGACCTCCAACGTTATTCCAGCATTCATTGATTAAATGAAGCTTTCCATGCACAAATGTTTTTGTCTTTTCCTTCCACACACAAAGGATAAACCCATACCCTCTCAAGAGTATAGTACTGCACGGAGCCAACTAGTCGACTCTAGTGCCCACCAACTCCATGAAACGATGTATGCTCATGAATAGACAATAGTATTATTCACTGTTGCAAAGGACAAGTTTTTCTCTAAAAGCTTGATGCGTATTCTAACCATTCTGAATTGCATTTAATGCAATGGGTATAAATAGCTAAGTGCTCTCCTCACTCATGCACCACCAACACTAATATAATAGAACACATAAATATGCTTATCTTCAAGCAAGTTAGAATTTCTCTCAAATTTTAAGGTTTTTACCTAAGAATAACACATTTATGTCTTTATCTTATTCGACAATTTTTTATATTTTCTAAGTGTATATGTGTGTAATTCTAGATTGTTTTCTCTTTACCTTTTCTATTTTCGCAAACAATCTGTAAAAAATCTGTATTGATCCTTCTATATCAATATATATTTTTAAAAGTGAAAGTTTATGTGTTTGTATTCATCCCCTCCTATTCTACAAATTGTTCGCTTCTAAACTCTTGTAGATCCGGTTGGGACCAACAAGACCTTTATTCCATCGTATAGTGGATGTTGTTACCGCTAATGACATATATTTTCAACGAAGACCTGATGCCACAGGTAGACAAAGTCTTTCACCATTGCAAAAATGTAGTGGATCTATGAGGGTGTTGGCATATGGGACATCGGTTTATGCAGTTGACAAATATTTTAGAATGAGTGGATCCACAACAAAGGAAGCTCTCATCAACTTTGTAAATGGTGTCATATCCTGTTTTGGTGACGAGTACCTCAGAAAGCCTACCAAAGATGATTTAGCAAGACTACTCTATATTGGGGATCAACGTGGATTCCCGGGTATGATAGGTATTATTGACTCTATGCATTGGCAATGAAAAAATTGTATGAGCGCATGGGTTGGACAATATGCTGGAAGAACTGGAAAACCAACAATCATTTTGGAAGTCGTCGCATCATTTGATTTATGGATATGACATGCTTTCTTTGGAACACCAGGTTCGCTAAATGATATTAACGTACTTCACCGATCTCTAATTTTTGATGATTTATTGGCAGGTCGAGCACCAAAAGTTACCTATGTCGTGAATGGTCGCGAAAATGATAGGGCATATTATCTCATTGATGGGATATATCTTGCGTGGACTGCATTTGTCAAGTCAATTATGTCTCCCCAAATCCAAAAGCATAAGTTATTTGTTGAACATCAAGAGTCTGTCAGAAAAGATGTTGAACGAGCATTTGGAGTTCTACAAGCTTGTTTCGCATTTCTTCGACACCAATGTCTTGTTTGGGACAAACATAATATAGGACAAATTATGATTGCTTGTATCATCATGCACAATATGATAGTTGAAGACGAACAAGATACATACCTCCATTTTTATGATCCTATTAAATTTCTTAAAGACATACCCATAAATCGACAACAAAGAAGCTCTGTAGAAGATGATAGTCAGCTGCCTAGATTCTCCGTTGAAAGATTGCAAGCCTATCAAGTTATATGGCTAATAGGGAACAACTTCGCAATAGGGAAGCTCATAACGCTCTAAAAAATGATTTGATTGAACATATATGGCAAAAATTCGGCTCTAATAATTAACTATGTTATTTACTTTTTTAGATATGTAATTTTGCTCTTCTTTCTGTAGTTTCCTTTTATTTATTTTCAATTGTAAGTTTTTTATATTTATAATTATGTTTTAAAATATGAAATTATTTTTATTTATTTTTTATTTAAAATTAAAAGATATATATATATATATACATATTATATATATATATATATAATTTTTATAAAATAATTTTTGAGATTGGGTTGGATTGTGAATAAAGTATAAAAAATTTAGATTTGATTGGAGTTGAAGATTAGGGGGGTGTTTGGGATTGTTTATAAAAACAACTTATTGAAACAACTTATTGACTTATTCTGGTGTGGTACTAGTAATAAGCACTTTTGAGTATTTGGATAAACAGTTTATACTGGTGTCAAACTCGTAATAAGGAGCTTTTAAATAAATTAAATTATTCTAACTTATAATAGGTTGATAAAGACTTTTGTATAAAAATATAAGTTATTTCAAATAAGCAATCCCAAACACTCCATAGATAAATGAAACATATAAAAAAATTAGTTTTTAATAAAAATTGAATTGATTTGGTTTGTTGTTAGACCATCCACATTCATGATCTTCTGGTTCAGATTGTGAATAAGACAAGAATATTTAATATTAAAAATAAATAAAAAAATAATTTGGTATATCTCTGTCGAACGATCTCATCACTCCATGAGATGAGATTGTTGATAATTTTAAAATATATAGGTGACACTTGTCACTATATGATTGGTTTTATAGATTTTATTAGGATAAGATTTATCTAATTAAAAATCAGACTTTTATAAAATAATTAAAATTAAAAAAAATATACCAAAATTCATGGTTTTCAATTCCCTACAAATAGAGACCAATATTGATGTATTTTCATCACACCAACTTTTCTCTCTATTTCAATCCTCTTGTTATCTTGCTACTTCCTTTCAAATATTTCTTATGGATCCAAACTTTCCAAAT